GTGAAATGGAGAACCATAATAAATATTATGGTTCCTTCTTTCCACTCTATATCTATTCCAAAAATAATTTTATTAATCCTAAGCATGTAACCGAGGAAGTAAAATGGCTTTTCAATCTTGTGTTGACTACGTGCCTACAGTGTTGACTCGCTAAAACCTGGAACTTCCAAATTAAATTTTATGGATATGAATGATTTATTGTAATCTCTCCTACAAGGAAATTCCTCTTAAAAACTTTAAAAAATCAGTCTGTGTTGGGGAGGGGGAGTATTTCTAATTCAAAGCAGGAATCAGGCTAAGATCACATGTCTCTGTAGAGGAAAGGGGAAGTTTTACTTGTTGCTTATGTTTTTAAAATATTTATGGAGACAACTGGACTTTTAGTACTTTACTTCTGGTTTTAATGTTGGAATTCCCAGGGGACTAAAATTGTTCCAAACAGTCTAAACTGTGAAGTTCAAGAACAGTATATAGAGGGTCTAAAAACTTTAATTCTCCTTGGGAACTTTGAATGAGAAAGCTGGCTTTTTAGTCCTTTGTTTCTTGAACTTCCTGTTAACAGAAGACCTCCTTGCCTCCTATTCAGTCCTTAACCAACTGCAGACTGACTTTGGTCTTCTCTACTAAAACATTTTCTGTATAAGGTTATTAATAAATTATTAAGTCATAAAATCTCGTGATTTTATTTCTCATTCATCCAGTCACTAGTCAGTGTATTCAGTGCCTATTATGTAACTTGATGCTAGGGATGCATTAGTAATCATGGCAGATATACTCCTTTATATGGTAGAGCTTTCAGGCTTCCAGCTCCATTGACCTTCCTTTCTCAAATTTTGTGAAATCACTAAGCACTGGTTTATGAAATCATTCCTTATCAGTTCTTCTTTCAGTGCTCATTCCCACTTCACCCCATGGTTCTGCCCCTGGTACCCTCTCTTTGCTTGATAATTTATTTTCTTGATACTTTCTGGGGGATTTCATATGGTCAAGGCTTTCAGGTTATCACTGCCTATACACATATGTCTATATTCAAATTAATTTTTTAATATACAACGATATTGTATAATTGTGGACTATGGTATTTTGCTTTACTTTTTAATAGTTTTATTGAGATATAATTGACATAATGAATGCTCACATTTAAACTATAGAATTTACTAAGTTTTGACATAGGCATACACCCATAAGGCTTTACCACTGTCAAGGTAATAAACATATCCACCACTCCCAAAAGTTTCCTATCATCCCCTTGTAATCCCTCTACCATCTCCCTACCCCTTGCCTGTTCTTAGGTAATCACCAAATTGCTTTTCTGTTAGTATAGAGTAGTATGTACTTTCTAAAATTTTATAAAAATGGAATCATACAGTATATATTCTTTCTCCCTCTTCCTCGCCTTCCCTCCCTCCCCCTCCTCCTCTCTCTCTTTCTCTCTGACTAGCTTTTTTCACTCGCATGATTATTTTAAGATTTATCCGCATCATGATGTATATTAACAGTTCATTTTTTGTTACTGCTTGTATTATTTCATTCTATGATTATACCACAATTTATTTACACAGTTACCTGTTGATGACCATTTGGGTTGTTTCTAGTTTTTTTGTTGTTGTTGTTATGAATATTTGTGTACAACTACAATATGCATTCTTTTCTCTTGGTTAAATATCTAAGAGTAGAATGGTAGGTATATCTTAAATGTTTTAAGAAAATGCCAAAATGGTTATACCATTATACATGCCTACACATATTACATGAGAGTTCCATTGCTTCTATATCCTTTTTAATGCTTGATGGTTAGTCTCTTTCATTTTAGTCATTTAATAATTGGGTAGTGATATTTCATTGTGGTTTTGAATTGCATTTACCCAATAACAAATTTTGTTAAACATCTTTTCATGTGCTTATTTATCATCAGTATATCATTTTTGGTGAACTATCTGTTCAAATCTCTTTCCCATTAAAAAAAAATAGATTGTTGTTTTTTAGAATTATTTGTTTTGAGAGTTCTTTATTCTGGTTCGAAGACCTTTATCAGACATATGATTGGCAGATATTTTCTTCCAGCTTGTGGTTTGTCTTTTTACTCTCAAGAGTGTCTTATAAAAGCAGAGTTTTAAATTTTGATAAACTCTAATTTATCAGATTTTTTTGGATTATTCTTTGGGTGTCCTATCTAAGAAATCATTTGTAATCCAAAGCTGCAAGGTTTTTCCTATGTTTTCTTCTGGAAGAGTTATGTTTTTAGATTTAACATTAGGATCTCTCACCATTTTGAATTAATTGTTGTATATCATGAAAAGTATTGAATTCATTTTCTTTTTGCACATATGTATCAAATTGTTCTAGCACCCTTTGTTGAAAAGACTGTCCTTTTCCTTTTGAATTGCCTTTGCATCTTTGTCAAAAATTAGTTGTCTGTATTTGTTTAATCTTGGAGCCTCAGTGTGTTCCATTGATCAATTGTCCATCTAAGGGTTGCTACCACCATGGGCCAAATACAACTTATAGCCCGTTTTTGTATAACCTCCGAGTTAAGCATAGGTTTACAGTTTGAAAAAACAAGAAGGAGAGAACGAAAGAAAGAAAGAAGAAAAGGAGAAAGTGTGATGGAGACCACATGTGGTCTGCAAAGCCTAAAATATTTACTATCTGGCCCTTCTCTAAGAAAAGTTTCCTAAGCCTGGTCTGTCTTCGTGCCAATACCACATGTCTTGATTACTTTATAATATCTTATAATAGCTTTATAATATCTTGAAATAAGATAGTGTTAATCTTCCAACTTTTTTCTTTTTCAAAATTGTATTGGTCCTTTGCATTTTCATATGAATTTTAGAATCACTTTGTTAGTTTCTTCAAAAAAGCCCCACGTGATTTTGATTTAGATTGTATTGAATGTATAGATCAATTTGGGAAAAGTTAACATCTTAGCAATATTGAGTCTTTTCACTCATGATGTAGTATATTTCTTTAGGTTCTCTTTAATTTCTCTCAGATATGCTTTGTAGTTTTCAGTGTACAGATCTTTTACATCTGTTGTCAGATTTATCACTATATATTTTTTATGCTGTTATAAATGATATTTTATTAATTTCAACTTCTAATGGTTCCTTGCTAGTATATACATATACAGCTGATTTTTATATATTTATCATTTATCCTGTAACCTTTGTAAACTCACTTATCGGTTCTAGTGGCTGTTTTGTGGATTCTTTTGTATTACGCATATAATCAGCAATGTCATCTGTGAATTACAGATAGTTTTACTTCTTTTTTAATCTAGACACCTGTAATTTCTTTTTCTTATCTTATTGTGCTGCCTAAAATCTCCAGTGTAGTGTAGAATAGAAGTGGTAAGAGTGGATATCCTTATCATTTTACCTAGCTTAAGTGAAAAGTCTTTAGTTTTCCACCACTATTTAGGATATTAGCCGTAGGTTGCCACAGATGCACTTATGAACTTAAGAAAGCTTCCTTCTGTTTCTTGTTTGCTGAGAAATTGTTTTTCAGCAATGAATACTAGATTTTTGTCAAATGCTAGTTATGAATCTATTGAAATGACCATGGTTTTTTTTTTAGCCTGTTAATATGACAAATTTTACTGATTGATTTTCAAATGTTAAACCAACCTTTTATCCTGAGATAAGCACCATTCCATCATGATGCGGTGGTTTTTTTTGTTGTTGTTCTTTGTATTTTGTTGTATATGATTATTCTGTCATCATTTTCTTTCAATCACTTTTGTTTTGCTGTTGGGATAATTCTGGCATTATAGAAAACCAGTTTTCTGAAAGAATCTGTGTAGTATTTGATATTTCTTCCTTAAATATTCAGTAGGTTCTAACAGGGAAGTTGTCTGGGCCTATAATTTTCTTGGTGGAAAGATTTTTAACTACAATTTTTTTTTAATAAATAAAGAACTATTCAGGTTTTTCATTTTTTCTTGGGTAAGCTTTGGTAGCTTGTATCTCTCAAAGGATTTGTCCATCTCAAATTTATTAACTTAAAATTGTTTATACTATTTCCTTCCTATATTTTACATATTTGCTTAATATTTCTAGAATCTGCTCTGACGTGACCTTTGTAATTTTTGATGTTAGAAATTCATGTTTTCTCCTCCCCCCCCCCTTTTTTTTGATTAGTCTGGCTAGAAATTTATCAATTTCATTGATTTTTCTCAAAGAACCAGCTTTTGGTTTTATTGATATTCTTTATTGTCTTTTAGTTTTCTCTTTCACTGATTTCTGGTATTATTTTCTTTCTTCTACTTTTGTTTCTATTCGATCTTTTCCTAGTTTCTTAAGGTGGAAGCTGAGGACATTGATCTGAAATCTTTCTTTTCAAATAAAGATAGCACTACAAATTTCCCTCTTAAGTACTGCTTTAGGTTTATTCCGTAGATTTTGATATGCTCTGTTTTCATATTCATTTAAATCAAAATACTTCCAAATTCCTCATTTAATACTATTGTCAGAGGACGTACTTTGTATCACTTGAATACTTTTATATTTATCAAGACTTATAGCCCAGAATATGGTCTGTCTGGGTAAATATTCCATGTGTGTACTCTGCTATTGTTGGAGTATTTTATAAGTGTCAATTCTTGTTGATAGTGTTCTTCAAATCTTCTGTAGCATTCCTGGTGATCTGTTTATTCTATCAACTATTAAGAAAAGGTTATTGAAATCTTTGACTATATTTGTATGTTTGTCTATTTCTCCTTTCAGTTCTATCAGTTTTTGCTTCATTTGTTTTGAAGCTTTGTTATTAGATAAATATACATTTAAGATTATGTTCTCTTGATGAATTGACTCTTATTATAAAATATTCTTTTCTCTAAAATGTACTTTGTCTAATATTAATATACCTACTCCAGTTTAAAATTAGTGTTAGCATGGTGTGTCTTTTCCATCTCTTTGCTTTGAACCTATCTGTGTTTTTACATTTAAAGTGTGTTTCTCAGAGATTATAGGTCTTTTTTCTTTCTTTCTTTCTTTCTTTTTTTTAATATGGAATGCTTCACGAATTTGCGTGTCATCTTCATGTAGGGGTCATGCTACTTTTCTCTGTTTCATTCCAATTTTAGTATATGTGCTGCCGAAGTAAGCACGGTCTTTCATGTTTATAATTGTCTGGTAATTTTTGCCTTTTTACTTGTGAATATTTAAACTGTTTATATTCTTTGTAGTTGTTTATGTGGTTAGTTTTAAATATTTCATCCTCTATATTTTTTCTATGTTTCCTTTTGTTCTTTGTTCCCTTCCCCCATTTTTTCTGCCTTTTTAAAATCAGTTGAATATTTTTTTTTATTCCATTTTATCTCCTTTCTTAGCTTTATGGCTGTAACTATTATTTCAGTTGTTGCTTTAGGTATTATAAGATATCTTTAATGTATTATATTTTACCTTCAAGTGATATTACACCAATTCATATATAGCATAAGTATGTTACAATAAAATATTCCCATTTCTCTATTCTCCTTCCACTGTATTGTCATACATTATTTACTTCAATGTATGTTATAAATTTCATACTTCAGTGTTATTGATTTTAATTATTTAATTATCTTTTAAATAATGAAACAAAATTTTTGTATACTAGCTTTGTTATTACCATTTCTGGTGCTCTTCATTCTTTTGTATAGACCTGTATTTCTATTATCACTTAGCCTTCTACCTGAGGGACATCCTTTAACATTTCCTATAGTGTAGGTCTGCTGATTCTTTCAGCTTTTGTAGTTCTGCAAAAGTCTTCATTTTACTTTTGCTTTTGAAAGATATTTTAGTTGTGTATAGAATTATGGAATGATAGTTTTTTTCTCTCAGTACTCTAAAATATTCCTCTGTCTTCTCAATTGCATTGTTTTCTTTGTGAAAATCAGCTGCTACATTATCTTTTTCCTCTGTATATGTGTCTTTTTTCTCTAGATGCTTTTAAGAATTTCTCTATTACTAATTATAAGCAATTTAATTATGGTCTCACTGGTATAGTTTTCTTTATGTTTCTTGTGCTTAGAGTTCTTTGAGCCTCTTGGTTTTTGTCAAATTTAGAAAAAAATCAGCCTATTTTAATTATCCTCAGTATATCATTTCATTACATAATGATCTAATTTAAAAATACACTCCAGGTATTAATAAAGAAGAAATTTTAGAATAGTTCATATAGAAGTTACTACCAAGCATCTGATGTTTTGAATGACAGAATCCAGTCTTGACACTCTCTGTTTTCACTCTTAAACTCTGGGATTGCTGAGATTTTTAAGGAAGCTCGGGTACTATAACCTCTATAATATGGAAGTCCTGCCAATAGCCTTTATAATCACATGTCTTTTTTGGCAGTCATACTACCTTGGAAGTTAGGTGAGGAATTAATAAATGGTTATCAGGCCTGAAATGATGGCCGCTCTGTGTCCTGTGATGATCATCTGAGCACCTACTTTTCACTTCAGAGTCAGCATCAGAGCTAAATTTCCAAAATTTGCTCTCTGCTTCTTTCCAATGTTGAATTTGTATGAACACTGCCATGTTTTAAGAATACATTTAGTGTTGATGTGTACCTTGTCTCAGTCCTCTAATTTGCTAAGGTGATAGACAAGGAAAAGGCAAGAGCTTTGAACATTCACCTGCTGGTTATCAAGTAGAAGGAGATTTTCTCTTAATTTCATTTACATTTTGCTATAGCTTTAGCAGAGAAAAGTTCCACAGGCAATAGTCAAATCCCCCGAATCATATGAGTGTGCCCCTTATAGGTCTGTGACTAAGAAGATGGTGGTGTAAAAAACATAGTTTCAGCAATACATTTTCATGCTCTTCCTTTTTAGTAAACCAGCTCTGACAGCTGAGAAGAAATCTGTACTATAGCTCAGATTTCCTATGTTAGGCATATTTTAGCCATAAACTTAATTATCACAAGAATTTTCAAAAGACTCCAACTTTTTCTGCACTTGGTACCAGAGGATACCAAGTTCTATTTTTGAGCTGATAAAATCCTCCTTCTGAAAGCATTTGTTTATTATATTACAGCTTCACATGAGCTGAGCTCCATCCTGACCCCGTGTTAAGTGTCTGTGGTAGATTTCATTACATCCATATACTGGAAGTCCTGCCAATATACTGGCAGCAAAATCCTAGTGGAAAATAAATGGCAATAAAAAAGAGAAATGATAGCCTGTGTGAGTGGTGAGGAGCACAGCTTTATTGAGACTGGACAACCCCAGAGTAGTGACTTGGCATGCAGACATGAGCTTAAGAGAGTGTGAGTGAAAGCTGATATTGGAATAACGACTCTGTGGCACAGACATGGGAATAATTTAATTAATTGCACTGAAATTTCTTTGATGAATAGTTATGTGGTGATAAGCATGAGGTCGAACAGCAGAAATGAGTTTCAGCTTTTTAATGGGCCAGCACAGCTGCAGTTTTGGATGCCTTCCCACTTTATTTTTCCCTGCAAGCTCTCTGCCGCTTTGCTCATCCATTTCTCTCCAGCTAAGCGCACCAGTAGCAGGGCTCCCTCTCCATGTTTGCTGAGCTGAGGGGCAAGTACATTTGGCCATGGGAAGCAGGCTGGTGACTGCTTTGAAATGAAAACAAGATCAAACGAGAATGGTGGGATGGTTTCCTTATGATGGCTGCACCTCCCCTCTTCCCCAAATCTCTAGGATGCTTTTGCAGAGTCTCTGCTGCTAAGTTGTATAAAGATTTTAATAAAAATTTCTTGTCCCTGGAGAAAGAGGCATGTCTTTGTTGTCAGGGAGCTAGAGGGAAATGAGCAATGCAGCCCAGCTGGAGCACTAGCATTAATCCCATGATTCGTAGCCCGTATTTTCAGACAGATCAATTACTTATGGCTGTAACCAATCTCTCACCATTTTCTTGCTGTGCAGGGCTCCATTTCCAGGCTTGGCAGCTGACATAACCTTCCAACTTGATAGAACTTCAGCTGCATCTCTTCAGGTCTGTGGCCTCTATTCAGCGAGGTTATACAAATGAGTTGTTAAATAAAAATCAAAAGTCAAAAATTGTGGGTGGTAATCTCTGCTTGGCTCAGTAACACCTGTGGATCTAGGCAACATTTTCAGTTGGATTTTTTTTTTTTTTTAACAAGATGAATGATTCATTTGTCTTACTTTCTTTACTTTTATGGGTAGGCTTTGCATGAGAGAAAAACCTTCTCTAAAGGGAAAAAATTATCCACAGTGGGTGCATTTGTTATCAGTTTGTAAGTTGAAAGATTAACTCAGAATGGAGAGAAAGGAGATTATGAGGAGACATGAAGGGCATGTCCAGGTGAGCTGTGTCTAATGCATTGCACACAGTGACCCCTTTTCAGCTTCAAGGCTGCCTCGTCTTAAGGCCAGCAGATTCTATATCAAAAAATGTGACCCTTGCTAACACACAGGTGGCAGAGCAGAGAACATGTAAGCTGTTTATAGAGTATGTCATTGTGTGAACATAGAACTTCTGTCAAATATCTAAATTCAACAGGCTTTGAGGACTTTACCCAGATTTGATTTAGTGACTGGAAGACATACTACTTTGTGTATTGAAGCCTTCATAGCTAGGTCAAGACGGGTCAGCTTTCCTGGAAGAAGTGATTCGGGGCCAGATGGAGGAAATCACAGAGTTTTGTGATTTGACTCACTTTGGACACGCAGATGTGTGTGTGGCTCTTGGTACAGCAGGCATTGCCTGCCCCTCTGTGCTCTCCCCTGTTGTCCTCCATTCATTTCCATTTCTCTGATGTGCAGCCCTTTGAGGACATTTTTATTTTCCTGGTAGTAACCAAATGTAAAAAACTTACTGGAAGGAAAAAGGAACATGTTGACATTTAGAGGAGATAAATAGTTTAATGTTCCACCTAGGGGCCTTTTTGTATTTATATACATATTTGCATGTATGCCATGGGTGCTTGTTTTGTATATTTCCAAATGCTCTGCAAGCTTTGAGCTACTTGGGGCCCATTACTAGTGTGTCCTTTTGGAACGTACATTCATGAACTCTGTTAACAGTTAAGGAGGTGAATCCCTGCTGGTGCAGACTGGCAGCCACACATTCCCCTTGGGCTTGTATTACTTTGGATTGATTCTAAAGAGGCAAAGGAAACATGCAGAACATACTTGTTTGATTTGAAAGTTAAAAACTTGTCTATGCCTGTTTTCCTCTCCCTTTTTACTCCAGCCTTTCCTAGCCGTCCCAACATGAATAGTAAAACATAAGTCATACAGCACAGTAAGGTGCTGCCCCCAACTCTTGCCCTGCTCTGGGCTTGGTTTTTTGTGGATCTGCATTTTATTATGATTCATTACGTAGTATAGAAAAGAGTCATATTGGTAGCGAAGCACGACAGTCCCCGATCCTCAAAGCCTGCCAACCACTGAAAGTTTGAGAAAGAAATGAAAAGCGGGAAGGGTGAGATTTATAGTGAGTTCAAGTTGCCTTTTTCCTCCTTGGAATATTGCCCATTTTATTAGGAGTTATTTAGTGAAACAAAGTGCAGTGGTAGCTTGGAGAAATTGTGGATAGTTTCCAGCAGCCAAAAAAAAAAAAAAAAAGCTTAGACGTCTGTAAGCCTTCTCCCTTGGTTGCAGTTAGGAAGCCAGTTGACAGTATAATAGGCTTTTGAAAGTGGGTGCAATGGTTTGTGTGTTCTGTTTGATGTTGCAAATACCAGGCCCTCAGGGAGATCTGCAAAGAGGATGTTCTGTTCTTAAAGAAAGGAAAAGATTAACCTGAAACGTGAACTGAAAAACTCCTGAATTTTAAAGGACTTAGGTGCAACCAAGGCATGATCTCATTTACTTCTGTGGAAACTACATTTGGCAAGCTGCCTGCTACAGACAAGCAAAGGGCTGGGCAAATATTTTTTAATGATTTTGATTAATGAAGGGCGGTCACCAGTAAATTTGAGAGGATTAGATCACAGATTAAGGATGTGTCTGTGGGCGTGCGTGCGTGCGTGTGTGTGTGTGTGTGTTTATGGTTTACGTGATTAAGGCTTTCTTTGTAGATATATGTATACTCATACACACATAAAAGTCATAAACCAAGAAATCTTGGAACCTACCTAATAATGCTTTTCTGCATATTCAGAAATAATGCTCCATAATGC